AATACAGTAAAAAAAAATGTGTGTGTGTGTGTGTGTGTGCATTGGGGTGTGCATATGTGTGTGTGTGTGTGTGTGTGTGTGTGTATGTGTATGTGTATGTGTCGGTCAGTAATAAGAAATGTATGTAGCTGTACACCAGTCTAATCTAAATGATCACTACCCTTATCACTAAATATAGCCAAGCTATTACACATTTGATATAGACCTACTGTTGCAACTGAGATTCAAAAACATTTCAAAATCATCCCATCCATGTGAAGCTGAAGTTGGCTATAAACTGAATTAAATAATTACATTTAATTCATTATTTATTTATTTATTTTTAAATCTACAATAGGCAACAGAACAGAGAGTTAAACTAAATATTTTGTCTCTATAAACCAGCAGTGGTTTAAAAAGACAATCAAGATAGCTGAAAGTGTATAGAAGACCAATCTGTGCACATGCTCACAAAGTCAGCAGAAAATAATTCAAGAATAATGTATTATAATGAGGGGATGCATTTTAAATAAATTAAATAACATTGTATTGATTATTGTTTGTTAATATATTTAGTAACCACTGATTTTCAATCAACAAAGCAATTTTCAATTGTTATATGACATTATTGTTTCAATCTGGTAAACAACAGGAAAGGGTTGGTAACTACTGTAGGCAATAGCTGAAAGTGCATTTCCACATCATAGCCTTAATAGTGCTCACCCAGAAGGCAATATACTGTATATGCACTGATAATTTTTAACACATTTGCAGAAAAGCTATTAAAATAATAATTATCATTTTTCAAATTCTGTCTAGATGTCCACTTACATCTCACAAAACAAAGGAATCCTCTTCTCACAATGCCCTGAGAAAGCTTGAGACCGCAGGGAGAATCTATATTTAAATGTGATCCTCATTCAGATTCCTGTTTGGCATTGCACTTTTGGGTCTTACAAAATAATGAGAAAGTCAACAATTATATTTCCAGAGCATGAAGAGTGGTAGTCCTAGCGGGGAACAGATTTTGGGGCCACTTAAATTTAGCTTGCATTCCTGCTCTCATTTGGCGACCGGCTGTGCAGCGGGATGAGAGGCGCAGCAGGGGTTATGTCACTAACTATCTTTGATGTTAAGGATTTGAGCTGCTATGTCCGCCCTGACAGCTGCTTTTACTGACACATTTTCCCACAGATTTATGTGGATTTTAAGTCTGCTAATTTGACAGATATCGTTGCATCCATTAATAATTCAGCATCTTTCCCATTTTAGGTAATCTGACATGGTTTTCAAGGATGCACCTGAACACAGGAGGGGGAGTAGAAGGAGACAGGTGTCTGGTATAAGCTCATACATAACACTGACTTTTCTAGCATTTTTTTTTTTTTCCTATAGAGTGAAAAAGTAGTTCTCTGTACAACTATAAAACATACAATATTATTCCTTCAAATATTTTGATATATTTTGTCAAATTTAAAATGGTTTATAGACTATATATCACCCTTGAACATATTGTTATTCAAAACAACATTGAAAATGTCATATAATAGAAAAAAGAACACACCAGGTTTTATCTTCTGTTAGCTGATAAACACAATTGCTTTTATAGTCTCAGCAAAATTATGAGCAAGCAATAAACAGCAGCGGTAACATGCAAATACTTAACGGGGAAGTAATGCCTTCATAAAAATGAAAGTGGAATAGCAGAATTGCTGTTTTTTGTTTTGTTTGTTTGTTTGTTTGTTTTTTTGTTTGTTTCAGGCAAGTAGGAGGCCTTCTGCTGAGCTGCTGTTTTGAGTCATAAATGCTAGCAGCTGATTTCAAAAGGGAACATTGCAGAATATTGCAGTTGCAGTTGGATATTACAAGAATATGTGGTATGAATATAATGATACATTTTGACATTTTTAATTTTGAGGAAGTCAAGTTAGTGTTAGAGGTAGGGTCAGAAATTGAGCTTTTTGTAATTAATGATTATTATGTGAATTCTAACTTTGCTTTCACACCACAAGTGGTTGTATAAAGACAGCATTTCTGTCTAGACATTGTAATTCTTTGAAATAGAAGTTTTCTTCAATCCAATTTAATATGTGATAACTTATTACAGAAAGTGCAGAAATAAACTGTGAGCCAAGATAGTTCACATAGCCTACAAAAACAGATGTCATTTGATTCTGAAATCTTCATGGAAAATGACCAAAGGAAAAGAGTGTTCTAGGGCTTTTAAGAAATCCTGTGTGGATACATATTTAAAAGCCAAAGTGGAAGTTGTGAAAAGACCACTTGTGTTGATCTCAGCCTCTCCACTGCACAAAGACACGTTTATAGACTGTTAGGGCAGATATGCATAACTCTGACACTTGTGTCACATCATCGAAATCTGAGAGCAGTTTTTCTTGTCTGCAACATTTGACAAATGACTGGAGCACGAGCAGCGCTGACGCTTGAACTGGTAACCTGGCAATATTGGCTATAAACACTGAGAGTACAAGCCCCTGGGCAGCAACAAATCACAAGGCAGAGGCAGCCTGCGCGTGATATATGCAGGCTGTGCACACTGCAGCATCAGCTTTTGAGACCTCAAACTCATGTTTACAGTTACCAACAGCATGACTTGAACAGTAAATATTCACAAGCATACATCTAGCCAGCATGTGAGGTACTGTCAGGCTCACATTTTTATTTGTATTTCCCAATGAAATCTGCCCAATCACTAGAATGAGAATTTTTTTTAAACATACATAAACAACTATAGCTATACATTTTAGTATCATCAGAAATAAAACAAACATCTGATGGCATTGTGTGTACCATAAACCAAAATATGCAATAAAAAGTATGAACACTTGCAAATATGCCAAATTCTAAATTAGTGGACTATGCTTGTAACCATATGTCTGGAAATGATGGGTTAAAATTTATTGGGAGGATTGAACACAGGTTGTCTGCTGTAAGGTTGAACCCAACTTCTTTGAGGTTACAGGACTAATTATGAATTAATTCAGGCCGATGAAAAAGAGCTCAGGTGAAAATGAATGTACCAACCTGATGAAAATTCAGACACACAGGATCTCTGATACTATTAATTGGTGCACTCACATAACAGCTTTTTTTAAGCATCTCGCCCTTAAGTTAGGTGTAAGAATTAGCTTTTGTCAAGGAATCTGCTCTATTCAGGTAAAATGAGTCAGTAAAAAGTTGGACCAAAATATGGGTTTGTGGGTTTCAATAATGGTGAGCATATCATCATCAGAAAAAGGCTGATCACCCAATATTAGTATGTAATTCACGGTAAATACCAGCTGCTCTTAAATAGACAATAGTTTTTTTTTTTATTACAATGTTTATTTTTTTTAAATACATGCTTATATTTCTTATTAGCGTTTTATTATTAGGCTTTATTTTTAACAAGTTATAAAGAATTGTGCTGCTAAGTCCACCTAGTCTTTGGTGAATGCTACCTGTTTATTATATTTCTTTTGCAATTTTATATTTGGCTTTGTTCATATTTTGTCCTCTATTATTCAACCGGGTTACTCAGTGACAGTGAAAATAAAAAATCACAAGTCTATAAATTCCACAAGAGGTGCCGACGGACTGCGGCCACAGTGAATTAATATAGCCATCATCATCCCCCACAGTTAGACCTTCCTTGGCTCTGAGATTTGAGAGCAGGACTGAGGTAAATTCAAGGCTATATCCCTCAGACTGTCTCTCTCCACTGTGATCTCATGTATGTCCTGCTCAATGAGGGACAGATGAGTCTGTTGTTCTTTAGCAGCTGATTTCAACTTGTGGATCTTTAGTGTCAGTGCAGGGTTCTCCACACTCCCGCGGAGCATGTTCAGTCGCTGAGCTGTGTTGTTCAAAATGCGATCAAATCGCTCCAGGGGTATGCTCCCATCTGCATACACACAGAAACAGAGACAAAATGGTTCTATTCAGTAAACATAAAAAAATATAATTCAGTTATCAGACTCTTTAATCCAAATATTATAAATATTATAATACAACCCAAGTTATATTATTACTAATTTCAACACAGACTATGTCTTTAATTTGTTTTTCTATCTTTCTTGTACCCTATTCAGTTTTCTAATGAGTTGTGTAATCTTACAGAAAATAGCCAAGATACACAAAACTCTTACTTCCTTATTAATTTCTCAAATTATACAATGCATTACCCCATTAAGGATAATGACTTTTAATGTTGAGGTCAGGCAGTAAAATCTAATTTATCTCAGTACTTTTAAATTCCAAAGCAAAGGTCTCTATGAACAGCAGTTATTCTTACTTTACTGTGGGGATAAAAGTGTGAGAAATATTTCCATGTTAAATGAGCCATTAAAGAGCACAGAAATCTTTAGTGATATGACATTTGAGGTATAATGAAGATTTATGGGCATCTTAGGCATGCAAGACTAAAAGGTAGCCATATTGGAAATCCTCTGAGGAAAAAAATACATACCAATTTTGCTGATTAGTTCAGTTAGTGTAGCAGAATAGGCTTCTAACTGGATCGTGGCCAACTTCATGTGCTCCTTTACTTTTTTCAGCGACACTTCAGGCTGGCAAAATAGAAAATCTAATGAATAATGCTTTATCTAAACACAAAAGATCAACATGCATGGACCGTGCTGGTCAGCATCATCTGTACCTCATTGAAGAGCTGAGAATTGTTTTTTGGGCTTAACATCTCTTGCTCAATCAACCTGCGCACTACAGAATCTATATGTGAGCTGAGGTGAGCGGATGCTGTCTTTGTATGCTTGGCTTGACTCACAAGGCTTTTCGATTCCTGTGCACAGATGGAAGTGGTACCTGAAAAACTATTAACTAAAAATAATGAGCCAAAATCTGCAAAAAAAAGTCATACTACCTTAGCAACAGACTGTGCAATTTGTTCAGCTGTGTCAGAGATATTGGCAGCGTCACTGGAGTTCTTAAGTGCTGGTTGAAGAATCTCTTCCACCTGTGCCACCTTTCTTTTCACTTCAGCTAGAACCTTCTCTCTCAGTGGTCTCTCTTTCTTCAATACGGCTTTGGTTTGGAGCTGCTGCCGGGGCCATTCCTTCACCATGTCTGGGAAATTGTAGAGCAAACAAATTGGACTGTTTGTCTTTGCACTTGACAGTTCAATTTTATGAAAAATATTCAAATGTGGAAAAAGAAGACTCACATTCCAGTCCTCGGTGCAGGGCGATTGCCTCTGATTCCACCTCTTTCCCTGACACCACAGATGACAGTGCTGTAATCTTCGCCTCCTGTGCACGAGCTTGCAGCTGGAAAAAAAGACAGTGAAAATAAATCCAAATAAGTTACTGTAGAACAATAATAATTAAAATCCACACACAAGCCGAAATAGCAATGTAGAATTACATGACTATCACCTGTTGATTATTAGTATTGTGTTAGTATGTTCTATGGACGATTTGTTAAATATAAACGCATATCCACAGCATTGCACCAGGCTTTAACATATCAAAAATAGTATCTTTCAGGATTTGAGCCACAGTAACTGCATAGGCCGGTATTCAATCAGACATTCCTTATCACCAACTGTGTTACAATCACAATTTCCACACATTCTACTATGTATTCTATTCTATTCTATGTATATTTATGACACACTGCTACTGTGTTATTATGCTGTTATGATGAAGAGACATCTTTTATCCTTTATTTTGCCTGCCACTGACAATGTTTGATCAATATTTAAAATAAACCAATTGCAATGATACATGCATGCACAATCATTTTTTATAATTTTTACATACAAAATTACACATTAAACAGCAAACAATCCAAAGATTGAACATTCAATAACACACACACCCCAGCGAGTCTGGTAAACATACCTCATAGATTGATTGATCTACCTTCTCTCCCATCTCTAATTTCTCATTAGCAGCTTGTGTTTGTGGTTCCATCTTGGTCCTGATCTCACCAAAGCGACTGTCTGTAGTCTCAATGCGAAAGTCCATATCTTTTACCCTTTTCTCCAAGTCCAGCTAAAAGCAAATATATTGTTACAACCAATGTAGTAAATGTTGTGTAAAATTATTGAAAATAATATAACAGTATAATAACAGTTTAATGCTCAAATAAAAAATGCTTCATATACACATATTGGCAACCTATGAATTATGCAAAGATACATCCAGAAATATAATTGAATGTTATGATAATATAACATAAATGAACACTAATTCTGATCCTGCACTGATTTAAGAACACCCCCTCCTTGAACCGCCACCTTAATGTGGTGGAGGGGTTTGAGTGCCCAAACGATCCCTGGAGCTATGTTGTGGAGGGCTTCCTGCCCCTAGTAAGGTCAGCCTAGGCAAAGAGGTCCTGGGGAATGGGTCAGCCTAAGAGCGGTTCAGATGCCCTTTATGATGTACAAGATTCAGAGGCCAGTGACGTCACCCAGATTGGTGGTACCGGGGCCCCACCCTGGAGCCAGGCCTGGGGTGAGTGCTCAACATGCCTAGTGGCAGGGCTCAGCCCGAAGGAGGGCCGTCGGGCCGTCCTCCGACAGTCCCCGCGGCAGTTGAAGGCGGGGGGCCTCGATAACTGGATCTCCAGACATGGAGACTAGCTCTGGGGAGCTCTCAGCCAGCTGAGGTGGCACATGCATCTGGTCCGGATCCTGGACGCCTCCCTTGGGAGGTGTTCCAGGCCTGTCCCACCGGGAGGAGGCCCCAAAGAAGACCCAGTGCATGCTGGAGGGACTATGTCTCTTGACTGGCCTGAGAATGCCTTGGGGTCCCCCTGGAGGAGCTGGAGGAAGTGTCCGGGGTGAAGGAAGTCTGGGAGTCCCTGCTTAGACTACTACCCCCCGACCTGGCCCCGGATAAGAGGAAGTAAATGGATGGGTGGCATAACAAACACTATAAATTTTAGTGTCACAAAAAAAGAAAAGTTATCTAAACAGTTTTTAACAACAGTTTTTAAAGATGCATTTCCTAAAATTGACTCAAAGTGCTTAATAGGCTTCTGTTATATCCACACTGACCGCTGTTGTTTGGTTGCTTTGAAGTGTTTGGTTGAGTGACGCCTGGCCTGGCTCTGCTGATGTGCTGACAGATGCAGCAACCAGCTGATGTAAGGATGATGTGAGGTTTTTCAGGGCAGCGCTCCAGTCGGCAGCCTCCTCCTCCATGTCTCTCTGTGCGGCTGCAGTCTCATTCACCTGCACCTCTAGATCCTCCTTCCATTGGTGCATTTGGGTTATTCTGCACACAGTTTGAAACATGTCATTAAAAGTGTGTTATAGTGAGTATATTGTGAAATTATACGTAAAGTGACTATACTGGGTTTCTCTGAGCAGCCTGATTGTATTTGATTATATGAGTAAGATTGGCCATTCACGTACCAAAGAGCATGATTTAACTAAATGTTAGTGGGCCTTTTTCCACCTTCATAGTTGTGCATAATGATTAAGTATTACATATATAAATGACATATAGACCAGACCTCTATAGTCCCATATATAAAAAAGTAATTTATATCATTGATATATATTGAAGTGTCAGTGAGATTAAAACATAATATGACATCCCAGGACAGTTTAAACTGGCATGTCACTGGGCAAGAGTAAATATTAGATAGAATAAATCTAAACCACTTGGGCATATAGACTAGCACCCAAATAAAGTAAATGTATTATAGGGTGACAGACACTTAATGTTACAACTTTGTGTTCAGCCTTAGAACAAGTCAGTACATCTTATCACAAAATATCCAGTCAAATATTACCTCCACATAAAATATACTACTGAGCACTAGATTTCCATAGTAAACTGCTTTCCAAACTAAAGCTCTTACTAGCATCTATTTGTAATACATTCCAGAGAGCTGCTATCAACAAACTAAGTTACAACAGTGTGTGGGATATCGAGCTCTATATGGGGTTATCTAAAGTCTGGTCTATTCCGGACTTCGTCTTGCCTTAATCATTTGTGTCACTGGTTTTGCATCATATCAGTAAAACTCATTTGATCGTCTTAGTGCCAATATATAGCAATAAGAATGCATGTAGAATTCAATTTTACACAACCCATTTTAGCACTAATAGCTTGAGTGGCATTATATAAGAAGCACAAAATATAGATGTGTCATTCTAGAGATTAGCTCAAATGTCCTTAACCAAACAGACTACTGTTTGTGATGGCAGCAGAGGAGGGGAGGGGTAATCAATTTTGAGTGTCTCGCTTCTTCTTCTCATCATGGCCACTGGAGGGCATTTTGCATCATTCTGTCTAGCATTTTGGATAATCCTCGCAGCAATCTCACGCTAGAGGATGCAGTAGGAGCGCAGAAAATCCAGGAAAGCAATAGGCTTACAGTGGAGAGAGAAGCTATCCCCCTGTGGCTAAATGTCTTACTCCTAAGGCTCTTGTGAAGAATGAGACCTTGAACTGTAGTACAGCGATAGGTATACTTGTTCAAAATATACATAGAGAAAACCAATAATCCAAGGAGTCGTAGAGCATGTAAGAATTTAGCAATAAACATGGTTTATGTGAATGGACTATTGCTTGTTCAAGTGTTGGTGTGCTTAGTGCTTACTGCATGGTGAGGTTCCTGATGTACTCCTCTGTGGAATTGTCCATTAGAAGATCCATCAAGAGTGTGAAGGTCCCCTTTGAAGCTTGTAGCGTGCTGCTAGCAATGGCCTCAATGTGGTCTGCTGCCTCTTTGTGACTGCAAGACAAGATGGATTTGAAGTCAGAACAGGAGTCGTTAAACAGCCTGAGGTGGGATGGAAGGGGAAGATTCAGGCACTGACAACTTCCTTTAGCCTGTACGGCTTTTTCTAAATATCACATCATAGAGCAACATTCCCAGAGCAGCCAAGGGCATACCATTGTCCAGGCAGCAAAATAAATGTCAGGCATACTAAATTTCAAGAAATTGAGGTAATGGCCAAGGTGATATTTGCTTATAATTGTCTGCTTTAAATAATTAATGAGACATACCATACCTTTTCATCAGCTCATGTGAATCATTGACCATAATGTTCCACTTGTTAGGCCGTGATGGCATCTCAAAAGGAATGACCTGAAACACATGCACACAGAAAACCATAAAGAGGAAGATCTAATTTCTAATATGTATGTTGGTATCTCTATCCCCATCATTATACAGTACAGTAAATGGATGTTATCAGCTAACTGGCTATTTAGGAACACATGTTCACCTGCAAATAAATAATCTATATGACAGCAGCGTAAATCATTGGGATGGCTTTTTGAAATACTGTTTAAAGGGGCTTTAACTCAAATATATTGTACACATTTACATAGTTCATAGGTGAAGCAATTGTAAATACAGCCAATTTATATCGACCGTCTAGTTTACTCCCAAATAAAAATAAATGTTATGCATACAGAATGTTTCCCTGGGTGACATTTAATGGTGAAATATGCAAATAAAAAGAAAGAAAAAAAAAGAAAAACGGGATAAACAACAGAACTGCATAATATTTTGTTGTGCTGCTGTGTTTATTAATATGGAATTAAATTGCTGCAGCGCCGGGCTTAACCAAGTGATAAGGGCTGGGAAGGTATGTCAACACGCACACACTAAATGCAGATATATTTCCAAAATGTGCACCCTCATCCCTCTCAGTGTGAATAAAAAGGCAAAGAAATTCATTATGGTGTCCCAAAAGATGACAAGAAAGGCCTTGCAGAAAGGAAAGAACAAGCTGTTAATTTAAACGTCCATCAAACACTTTCTTATGAAGACAGTTTCTCAGAGTGGGGTGCGGTGTGAGGCAGAAATATTGTTTTGCTTTGAGGGCCTATGTGGATCTATACTGAGGAGCTCTGCGAAGAGTATTAAACTGCAGCATCCCAAATGAGGACAAGAAATCGATAGTACAAGCCATTCTAGTGTGCAGAGTACACGAGACCACCACACGACATGCCACCTGTGGTGTTCAGAAGTGTTTTAAAGCAAGACATTGGTAAATAAAGGTAAATAAAGCAACATTTTATTACCATATAGTAAAAATAAAAGGTTTGGGTAAAATTGCATATAGGACAGTGTTTAACTTGCATATAGGAAACTATTAAACATGTAAATAATGCAAACTCAGCATCCTTATTCAATACAGTTTGATTTACTGAGTTAATGTTAATAATGAGCTAAGTTAGTATGCAATGTAACCGTAATGTAATATCAATTTTTAGTGTGTCTGCTCAGAGGCTGCAAATAGAAAGTAGAAATAGCATAATCTGGGGCGATATTTTTTCTTTTGTAAGATTAATGAATTTGAACACTTTGTAAATGAAACTATTTACCCACCATGCCATCCATGTCTAATGTCGCTTGCTTTAGTCGCCTCTGTGATGCTGTGATCATGATCCCAGTACTGGTGAATGTTTGACACACAGCAGTTCTTATTCCTTCATTTTCTCTCTTCTCTTTCCACCCTTCGTCTCCTTCCTGTGTCAGACCTCTGGCGTTGGTGCAGTTCAAAGTTGCCGTAATGCTATGTAACTGGGCAGAGAGCATTCCCGTGGACGCTTCCAGTGAGGCAAATTGTTTTATGAAGGCCTCCCGAGCTTCTGTGAGAACAATGAACACATGGCAAATAAATTCACAGTAAGGCTTTCACGGATTATTTCACTCAGCTCATTTGTCTGGCTCCTCTTTGTGGTTGCATTCTCAAAACATCTCTTTAATTCGCTGTGGGAATCCAGACATAGACAAGTTTATCTTTTTTCTTTTGAATTGACAAACAGAAAGCATATGTCCAGATGTTTGTGCCAAATGGATTTCCTTTTATTTGGTATTGTGTGCAGACTGACTGGCAGTAGAGCCAATATAAAGCAATTTCAGCAATATGTTGGAAAGGTTGTCACTGTATTTTGTTTTACTCTGACAATGTCTATTTCAGTTAGTGAGTAAGTGAAAGGTGTTTGACAGCAGCAAACCCACATAACCATATTATATAGCTCATTAATTTGTTATTTTACAACACAGCAATGTAATGGAGGTGGTCTTGTATCTCTTAATGTTTTAATATATAATATAACGTTAATACAGCTATGATCATAATAGGCATAGAAGTGGTCACATGATGGCAAGTGCTATATTGTTATGATTTGTCTCCATTTGGTCTGCGTGGCTGAGCCTGTGAGCACTTTTGGTCCTGAAGATAATGAGGATATATTAGCATGGTATTAAAGTAATTGGGGGAGGTTTTGTGTTGCCGCCTCCTGATTCAATCCCTTTTTTTTAAGAGGGAGAAAACGCCAGAGGTGCTACAATTCTTAGTCATGGAACAATGTTTTATTGCCTTGCAGACAAATACTAGGCTTAACAATATAACTACTTGCCTAAAGGTTGTAAGGCAGCCCATAAATGTTGCATTGTGTATTTTGACACACAACTAGCAGCAGTACCTACAGCTGAGACAGTAATTTTCTGTGGTATTGTGCAACAACAGTGTTCTCAATCCAGCTAACATTGTTCTCAATCTTCCACACCATTTCTACTGTTAAATGAAAATATACTACACGTTCATTATATTATTCCTCATTTGTGTATTTCATGTGTCTTCTAACATTCCACATTTGACTGAGAGAGTAACTAAGACATGCGTACCTTGGAAAGCCAGGAAATCCTCCAGAGCGTTGGGAAGAGTATCCTCCCCTTGGTGCTCATACCCGTAAAGCTTGCTTCTCTGATACTTGAGCAGGTGAGGCTGCCTCCCAGATCTACCTTTGCAATCAAACTGAGCCAGCAGCTTCTCCAAATCCTGCAGTTGAGTCTGCAGCTTTTCTGCCTGTAAAAGCAACCACATTTATCACCCTCACAGCCACAATGAAAATACTCAACACACATATAAAACAGGTCTGCAACCACAACAAATCAATCTATCAAAATGTGTGTGCATTCATTCAGACACCAGGATTGAGATAAGACTCTGATTCTTGGTACACCATAACATCAAAATGTAGTATTTCTACAAAAAGCAATGAATAAATGAATATCAACAACATGATAAAGGAAGAATGTGCTTTTTATAACCATGCTTGCTCACACTGTTGTGTGCATAGCCAGCACAACAAAACCTGATTAGACTTTTTAAGAAAATTGAAATCCTTGTCTGAACATGCACTTGTGTCCTTAACTGACAACAACTTTTTGACCCTGGCTCCGCAGTTCTAAAAATTATGTCATCTCTATCAAACAGGAAAACGCACTGCACCTGAAATAACATGGCTTAACAAGCTAACTCACATTCTCCCTGGATTCAGCTTTGTAGCTGTAATGTTCTCATCTGTGATTCACAATGTCCAAATCTGTTTTATAACAATTGCCTAGGACCGGGAACCATAGTATATTATTTCATTATTTTTATATCCATTGCATTTTATTTCAAGTTTCAGAATTCTATCTTTTATGATTGATCCCAAATTTTTTACAATTTCCACCTTTGTGTTACTATGCTTGTTAGTCTTTCTGTTTCCTGTATGCGAGACGAAGAGAAAATGTGAACAACATAAAAGGAGAGCGGAGGGAGGCTGAGGACAGTGAGAGTAATAGCAGGTATTCACAGCAGACAAGTCTTGGATGTAGCCTGAATTGCTAACGCTGTGGAAATCAGAGCTTGTGTTCCACCAGGTAAAATGAACAATGAAGCATTAGCGGGAGCAAAAGACAAAATATGTCCATGTTATTAGATTGGTCTCTCAAGGCAAATGCATAGGTGGAGCACTTTAACAAGCGTACCGAGTAGGCAACAAATCTGAAGGGACAGAATCGCAGCACAGGAGATCATTAGGCCAAATGTCTTTCTTACCCAATGCACATCCATTGTTTTCCAGCAATCTGCTTAAAAGAGCCAGATGGGCTATGGTTTTGCAAGAGCAAAATATACCTCATATACAGTCAGGTAGATGCTGCATAAGTATTAGGAGAGAACTATAGAAAAGGAAGCTATTCTTACCCAGCTACAAGATTACCAATAGCCTGAACAAACAGACAATCACAGAAACGTCTTTTATTAAAAAAAAAAAAAAAAAAAAAAAAAAAAAACTAAATCAAAAATCAAATAATAAAAAACTGGGATACTACAGTTTCTTACAGAAGATCTCTGAACATAGTTTATCTTTAAAAAATCTTTACTATCATCAGAATTTTGCAAAATCTAGTAGTATGTAGCTTTGGTTCTCTTTACCTGTTTTTTGACAAGACCATAGCAAACAGGGCATTCTTCACACTGGTGCATAACCTTGTTGTGGAAGTAGTTCATTTCACATTTGTCACACTTATACCCCACAAAGCCTGGTCGACAGTGGCAGGTGCCGTTGCTGTGACACTGCATGGATATGGACCCCATAGGGTCACAGTTACAAGCTACAGAGAGGAGAAGACAATGAGTTTGGTCATAGAAAAACAAGTAAGGAGACTGGAGCTGTTTGTGTGTGTTTTGTATTAGACAATGCATTAAAGGATTAGATTGCAGTTGTGATTCTCCAAGCAGTCCTGTACCTCTACAGCCGCGTGAGGAGAATCCAAAAAAACCGGGGCGGCAAGTCTCACACAGCCTCCCCTCCACTCCTGCTCTACACACACACTGGCCTGTGACTGGATGACATGCAGATGATGATGAGCCAATTGGATTACACTTACATCTAAAAGAAGGAAAGCAAAAGCAGTTTCACAGTTTTACATGCCTGTTTGGAGCATTTATTTGGCACATTTGCTTATATTGTGAATGTTTACCTTTCACATCCCAAACCTGGCTGTAGGTTGAAGAATCCCACTTCACAAGAGCTGCAGTTGCGTCCGGTCACATGACTGAGGCATAGACAGTCTCCTGTCTGTGGGTGGCATTCATTAGCGAGTCCAAACGTACCACCAGGATTGCACCTGCAGGCTACAGACATTGATGGCACCTAATTATTACGAGCTTGGTGTCACAAATGACTTGTCCCTAAGAAAAGGCTGTCACCAAATCAAGATAATAATTATAGGTAAAGACTTGTTTGCTTTTAATTTGACAAATTTATGATTTCAGACATTTAATAATGGCTGTGCTTTGTGGGATTTCTGTGAGTCTTATGACTCATGCATGCTGTTATATTTAAACTTGTGAATTAATTAGCCAAGCCTATTAGGATATTTTTAATGGAAGCTGTCAAATATAATAAACATTTAAGAGCTTGTATTTTTTTATACTAATAATCACAATATCTGGCAAGCAAAATTTGGAACATTGTCACTCAGTCCCAAGCACATAAATAAAAGTTTTTCTGAAATCCTGGTGATAGCTATTTCATAGAGAAACATTAATATAATTGCATATAAGAGTTTCATTTTTCATACAGATTTCTTGACGTTTCTAGTGATGATATTTTAATTGTTTTAGCCACAATAAACATTTATAACTGATAAGCATTTTCTCTTACGTTTGCATTTTTCGAAGATAGTTTGACTCAGAGCGTCACCGTAGAAACCTGGCTGACATCGTTGGCAGTGGTCACCCTCTGTGTGTCCAAGGCATTTAAGGCATCTCCCGGTGATGTGGTCACATATGCCTAATGCGTTCAAGTCTACGTTATCATTGCACTCGCATCTGACGCAGGGTCGAACGTGTCCAGACTGTCCAAGGGGGTCACCATAGTAACCATCTTCACACATCTGGCAGCGGGTTCCTATGTAAATGCAGAGTTGAAGACTTGTCATAATGTAATAAAAAACAGTGAGTGTCCAAAGCCTTTCATCAAATATGTTTTTCTCCTTTAGCATGTAACATCACAGTGGAGTGCCATCATAATAATTTGACGTTTCTAGTGCTAGCTTCACCTGTCTGTCCTGTAGGGCAGTTGGTGCAGACCACCTGTCCCGTCCCTGCAATTTGAGCACAGCTGGTGTGGTCCGGGCAAGGGCAAGGATGACAGTCGCCAGGAGTGCCAATCAGAGCGTTGCCATAGTAACCATCGAGGCACAGCTCACAGGTCAACCCTGTAGTGAAATCAGTGCAGTCACACACACCTGAAACAGACCAAAGGATCACAATTAGAGCTGACATGTCCAAAGTAATGCTCGGTCAGAGTGGTTCAGAAGTCTGTTTGTTTGTGGACATTCAAATGTAGGCATACGTCTTAAGGGCTTTATGTAGGGTAAAAACATAAAAGGTTAAATTTACTGGGCTCAGAATGGTGGGAATCATTATCAGCTTATTTGAAGCCTGATTATTGTTTGAACTACATGAAAGCTACTTGAACATTCTGAGTGAGAATGATGAAAATTAAAATGGTTTGTGTTTAATGGCCAATATTACTAGGTAGAAATACACTGACTGGGTTCTTACAATTGCATATTTGTTGAAGTAGTTACAAAGATGGAAAATGGCCATCTCTACATGTTAATAAGACATTTTATTGCCATTTATTGTAATGTATTGCACTTTCATAACCTATAGTTTAGCAGAATAATTGTTATAGAATGCCTTATTTTTGCACTGTAGTTTCTAAAACATAAAGCCGGCAAAAGTAAACTTTTGAGTGTTTTTATTTTTTTATTTTGACATTGATTGATTGGAACAAATCAAAAACAGAAGGTACCCAGCACAATGAACTCTGTACAACACTGCTTCTGTACAGACCATCAGACTTTATGAATGGTTGTGATGGCGTTTCCCTCAGCTCCACCAGAGGGCGCTGTGTTTCTGTGTCCATGTCCGCAGTGCTTCTTTGCAGACACCAAGGGCTAGACTGGTATAAGGAAGCATCCCAGATAACCCACCACAGAGAGCATGAGACAACTAGATTCACCCTGGGTATAATTGCTCTGGGAAATGTGGTCTAGAAACCTTCAAGTAGTAAAGCATTTCCTGTCCCATGTGTGAGAGATTACCATTTCTATGAAGTCCTAAAAACAAACAGTTTTCTTAAGCAAGGCTTCAGTGCGTAAATTACTTGAAAGGATTGGTATGATATGAAAAAAACAGCACGATTTCAGATTTTTTATCGACCAAATCCCAACTTTCATTCCTCTCCAATACACATAATTTAAATTCAGTTCAGCAGCAAGCAACGGATAACATAATAACGCTACCCATAAATACCACACTAGTAAACAAAACAAAAGATACTATGAGTCATAGAAGGACTTTAAGGAAATTTTAGTTTAAAGCTTTAGTTACTTCCACACGTGACATCTCAAATGTGCTCTGCAGCTTCAAAACAGACAATTTAACGTCAAATATTGTGGAGGCATTTAATTTAATAACTGACTGACTAAAGCTTAAACCACACGCAAAGAGCAATAACTGAACAGCAAAATCCCAATGAAAAACATAATTGTGTGAGCTAATGTATGACTGAGAAGCTTATACTGAGTCACAAAGAGCAGACATTCATTAAATTTTAATCAACATTTATGCATTTTAGACTGTTGCAAAATAATAACAGCTTTTGTAGAGCTTTGTGCTGTAAATTGGTATTCAGCACTGCAACGATCTTTTCCTCCCTGTGTATTCACAATCCAATAATAGAAAATTTACAAATGATTTAAATTTCTTTTTTATTTCAAATATTCTCAAATGATTACCAAAACAATAGTGGGGATTTTGAAGAGAACACCAACACGTTTCCAGTGCAGTGCAAATAATCCTGGGGCATGCAATTTTAGCGAGTTCTCATTAAAATTCTCCATTACTCCCCTCATAGCCTACAGTGTGATTCAGCAAGAGGCTCTTTGCCATTGCATTAGGAAGTCAGCTCACAGCACTGCATATCAGACTAAAGAAAATTCTTGCCTTAAGTTATGGGGTCATTGCGACCAATGTCTCCCTTCACTAAATAAGGTGTTTTCAACTTGGAACAAGAAATACTAAAGTAATCAAACTATTAACTATCAAAATATTAACTATTTAAAATGGACCATTATCAGATTTATGGGTTAAAAATGTAAAAAGGATCATATCAACACAATCATTGCTCAATATTATTCATACAGACATATAATTTTGACATTTTTGCATAAAAAAAGACACATTTCATTGTAGTACTTTGACTTTAAGAGGCCCTCTTTATGCCCACATATCCAATTCTTCTTGATGTTTGACACATTCTTCACCGTGTCAGTCTTTCGACAAAGTCAGTCAATGAACGCACTTGGGATTAAGCGGGTAGTCATTTCATTGGTGTATTTACGCTGTAATGACCATCCTGAGAATAAAGAAGTGAATCTTTCTAGGATTTCACAATGACACTGATGGTGCGTGGTGTCGATCCCCAATGAGCCGTGCCAAATTTAATGTCCGCTGAAATGTGCTGACTTTACCGGGTGTGAAGATGACTGAGTGTGATATGAGGCAGCGGCGCCACACAGGACCACCCCGACACTATTATCATTCCATCGGCTGCAGCATAGAAAAGCTAACGGCATGCATCACAAACTGTGGTCCAATGAATGAATGTTCTGGGGCACTGGTTATTCATATGACTTTCCCCTCATGGCTGTGCTAATCAGAGTTATTATGTTACAACATATACTGTAACATCCCCGCAGTATCATTTTATCAATGAATCCAAGGCCATTCATTTGCCCCCCTAATGAAGTGCAATCTCTGTGGAGACTGTGACAAATCTCAATACAGCCCTATCTTATCTGTTATGGAGGAGACCCCAGTGCACATCTTCACTGAAGTGACAGTCAAAATGAGTTAGACTTAGACTTAAACAAACTTTATTGATCCACAAGGGAAATGTATTTGGGCACAGTAGCTCACACAGCACAATATAATAAAATATAATATAATATATTATAATAACAAGAGTAAAAATACAAATGATAATAATGAATTTGATATAAGTAGCAAAAATAGCAAGTTATTGTTTACATAAGGGTGAGTTGTATGTACCGTTGTATGGAGTATGTTCTGAGTGTAGTCCTGTATCTCTGACTGTTTAAGCAGAGCTGTAGGGGCCTGTTGAAAAATGAGCTCCTCTGTCCCTCCATAGTTTGGTGCAGTGGGTGAGCACGAGTGTCCCTGATGGAGAGCAGTTTGTCCAGTGTCCTCCTGTCCATCACTGTGACAAATGCCTCCAGCTCACAGCTGATCATATGACCAGTTTTATAGATGAGTTTGTCGATCCATCCAATGTCCCTTTTGCTGGTGTTGCTCCCCCCTACAGGGTGTTGGCCACCACAGACTGATAGAAGATCTCCAGTAACTTCCTGCACACATTGAAAGACCTGAACTTTTTCAGGAAGTTGGGTCTACTCATGCCCTTCCTGTACACAGCATTACTATTGTCCCTCAAGATCAGCCTGTTGTCCACATGGACTTCAAGGTACTTGTAGCAGTCCACAATTTCCACGTCATGGCCCTGGATGACCTTGACTCCACTGGTGTCCTCTTCCTCCTGAAGTCAATCACCAGTTCCTTGGTCTTGTCAGGGTTCAGGAGTAGATAGTTTGCAAGGAACCACTCCACAAAATTTGCAATCAGTGTACTGTACTCCAATTCCTGTCCATCTCTGACACACCCAACCACTGCAGAGTAATCAGAGAACTTCTGCAAGTGGCAGGACCTAGAGCTGTACTGGAAATCAGAGGTGTACAGAGTGAACAGGAACTGAGACAGGACTGTACCCTGGGGAGCTGCTACATTACTGACCAAGTTATCAGACAGGAGACAGTTGAGGAGCTGACACCCATCCTGACGAGCTCCTCACTCAGCAGAAAGAGCTGGACTGTATTAAAGGCACTGCAGAATTCGAAGAACAATATCCTCCCCCAGGTGAGAGTGAACACAATGCAGAAAACAGCATAATCCACACTAACATGGCATGGGATTTATGCAAATGGAAGAGGGTCCTGCGAGGGGCCACCAATGGTCTGAGCTGTCATATGTTTAATCAGTTTGCAAGTGCAATATTCTAATAACAATTTGCTATGACCAACTGGTTTTCACTCATAATTTGAGTAAGATTATATTTTGTATTTAATACTACAGTTATTAATTCAGCACAGCTACAACTCATTGTAAGTCATGAGATAAAACAAGCAAACTGTGAAATGAGGAAACATTTTAGCTGTAATACCTACATGTATTGTATTGACATAAGGCCTGAAACTTTTTTTTCTTTTTTACATTTACCTGCTAAAACTTTTTTCAGAAAAAAAAAAGTTTTCAGTTTTTAGATTCATCTTACAGCACTTTTAAAAAATCAGCTACGCACCTTCTCAGTTCTCAATGCAGTCACCATATAGCTTTACAGATATCACTCCAACCCAGTACAAACTCATCTGCAGGTCCCTTTAGACACACATAGAGTATTGAAGAGAGCAGCAACACAAAAACCTCATTCTACTTCCACTCATTCTACGTTCCCATCTCATATTGTAGAGTCTCCAACGCCTTCATGTCTAATGCACTTCATTAACACACACCTCTTGTTGAGAGATGGAATATATTGGAATACATCAATAAGTGATAGCAGCAAGGGCATGGACACTCACCATAAAATAAATACAGCACTCTCACATCTGTTCTGCTGTGAATCATTCTGCTCTCTTTTCCGTTGAGAGTATCCGCTAAAATTGGCGTCATCATTGTTTTTCAGTTTTTAGTTGCTTGAGATATAAAAGTTCTTTAGACGTGTATCAAAGCGTGTTACCATTATATTCTTTCTCCATTGAATATCAAGAGTATTTACTGAATCACAGAATCTCATCCGTGTTCTGGGAGGTCTGGCTGAAAAGAGAATGACGGGCTTTCCAAACAAAGCCTACAAAAATAAATGAATCCAAATATAAATATCATAATAAATATCATAATGAGCTAGAGTTAAGTAAACACGCTTTAAACTAGATCAGAGTTAGCACCCAACCAAGTCACAAACTACTTTAAATATTAGAATCTAATAGCAATATAGAATGTAAATTACATGTAAAGGTAATTATGCTAATAATTAGTAGCTATTCACAAAAAAAGGAATGCATCAGTTATTTTAATTTTTATCATGTTAATATGATTCATT